CAGGGAGTCCCCAACTGACCCTGTGCTCCACATGGTGCTACTGCTTTGAAACGCCACCGTGACATTTCAAAGGGGCAGCGAACACCGTGCAGCGCTGCACAGAGCCCAGAGTACAGGCTCAAGGCAGCAGTGCCATATCGAAGTACCCATTCTTTGCTCCCCTTTGATGTCTGATGGCGCGAAATGGACTAGTCCTTAACATGCTTACGATATACCTCTCAGCAACTTGGGATCTAATTAGACACATGAGACTAGGTCAAATTGTAGCTCTTTACTATCTTATCCAGCCGGTCAGAGAAATATCTTAGGATGTCACGTCAAAGTCTTTTATTTTATTCTTTTCTGTGTCAGACTCCAGGACTCTTCCCAACAAAAACTGTACTCGTGACATATTAATGGTAAAGGGCCCCAATCAGCAGTGCTTACCCACCTAAAATTCTCATTCAAAACACTAAGCATTTAGGGGAGAATCACATGCAAGGTCAGGTCAGGCAATGTGTTAGCCCTCCCGCGCTCCCCCGGTCTGTACTTACATGCCAGCGATCAATCTTCTGGCATTTGATTTAGCGGGCCTAGTAAAGACCTGCTAAAATGAAAACTGAGGGCACCCACGGGCAACACCAGTACTCCTTGCAGTCGCGAGGAGACGGGAAGTCAATGGGAGCATTTACTCCCATCCACCTTCCACTGTGAAGATGGTACCAAGTTCAGCTTAAAATATGTAAACTCCAGCTACATTAATTTACGTAGCTGGAGTTATGTACCTTAAGCCAGCCTTCTGGGTCTCGTATAAACTTGGCTTTAGGGGCACATTCTGTGTATGCAGTTTCTAATGACTTCAGTCTCCTAGGCTGTCAGACTGCTCCTCTTGGGGGAAGGGGGGGCAAGGATTGCCATTTTGTTCTGTACAAGGTAGCATACAAACATAGAAGGACCTTGGTCTGTGACTGGGGCTCTCAGATGACAGCCCAATACAAAGACAGGATTATATTTCACCAATGCTGAAGTCACACAAACAAAACAGAGAGCATACCACACACTGGTGGCAGCAAAGCAGTCTAATGGCAACATGCTGTATTGACACTTCAGAGATGCAAGTTCATATCCCACTTCCTCCCCCTTTGGGAGCACTGAAGAATACATTCAGTTCCAGGAACAAGCACCTTGTGGAGTTCTCAGCAAGTCCTATAACTGCCTCACACGGACATTGTCTGGTACCTAAGGGAGACACGTCCAGCTCTCCTCACAGCAGATGCCTACTAAAGACAAGAAGTTTAGCACTGCCAGTTAAAAGCAGTAATACAGGCAGTCCCCGAGTTACGCAGATCCGACTTTGTCGGATCCGCAGTTATGAACGGGGCTTTTCTTGCCCTGGAGGATGGGAGTGGCGGGACGCCCAGATGCGCCGCGGTCCGCCACCCCCGTCCTCCGGGGCGAGAAAAGCTGCTCCCCGTCTCCCTGGTCTGCAGGGAGACGGGGAGCAAAGCCTTGGAGCACTGCCCCCCTGCGGGTGTGCTCCGCGGCTTTGCTCCCCGTCTCCCTGGTCTTACCAGCAGACCAGGGAGATGGGGAGCAAAGCCTCAGAGCACGCCAGCAGTGGGACAGCCGCGGCACGCCTGGACTGTCCTGCTGCCCGTGTGCTCTGCGGCTTTGCTCCCCGTCTCCCAGGTCAGCAGACCAGGGAGACGGAGCAAAGCCATGGAGGACTTGGGCGGTCCCGCCACCCCTGTCTCTCTGGTCTGCTGGGGGGGGGCTGCAGCTAGTGCCCCTCCCCCCCAAGCAGACCAGGCTTTTCTTGCCTACCCCTGGGGTAGAGCAGCTGGGGGCTGCCGGGTTGGTCCCACAGCGCCGCTCCGGACCAACCTGGCAGCACCCCAGCTGCTCTGCCCCAGGAGTCCTGATTCAGCCATTGCTGGTCAGTTTCAGCCGCGGCTGAATCA